ACCCAGGTGCCCCTGCTTTCCTTTTAAAGAATCCACTGCCAGACCCTTTCTTCTTCTATTATCCACTTGAAATAAGGCACAGCTCATTGATAGAAAAATGCCCACTGAGGACTTGGTCTTTGCAAAAATAATGAGTCAAGAAAGGTTAAGACAGCGAGAACATTTACACCCTCTGGAGGCAAAGAGCCTGGGGGTTATCCAAAGACTTCATTGCTGTGCTTCCTATGCCAGCTTCCCCATACCAAGGGAGATCAGGAGAATATTCTGAGTTCCTCTTAAATTTTAACGTGTCATCCCAGTCTCTGTCTCTAGTAAGGGGGTCCAACTTCTCTGACCCTTCATCCTCTTGTGAAGACGGAAGCCCTCAGTGCGTGGAACATTCCAGATTCTCCTTTCCACTGTACGAATACTGGCAGGAGAGCTGGGACACAGAAGTGAGACCAGAGAAGGAGGAAAGTAATCAGGGAAAAAGCAGTCCTATTCTTCTCAGACAGCATCCCCGGATTAAGTAACTAGATGCTCAACACTCTTGTTTGACACTTCCCTGCAAGAAGCATAAAGGGCACCGTGCACAAGATCCATTCCTGTGTTTTTAAATCTCTTTCCTTGACTCAGAAAAATCACAGCTCATCTTTGCTTACAAAACGTTTATCCACAGGCCAAGTTGCAAAGGAGGAGAGAAGGAGAGTTGGTGATGTTGAGGGTGACCCTTCGGCCCACCTTCCCTTTCTTCGACGCTCATTTAGACCTCGAGGCGAGACTGAGGAGAGTCCCGGGACCTCGCTTTCCCTGGCGTGAGCCCGCAGGAACGGCACCCAAAGTCGACCAGGATGCCACGGTATTCCCAAATGGCCGGCCGCCGGCTGCCCAGCACGCTCAGCGGGCACCGGGACGCTTGCCGTGCTCGGGTACCAGCAAAGGCCGACGTCTCCGAGGCTGCACCGCCCGGGTCCCCGGCGCGCGGCAACACCTGCCAGCGACGCCCCGACGCCGTCTGCGCAAAGGCGGACAACAGGATGGCCTCCGGAGCCTGACGGCGGGGCTTCCAGAAATGGTTCCGCCGTCAGGCTGCGCCGACCGGCCCGGAAACACCGCGGTCCGCGGACAATGGAGGCTGGGGTCCCTCGGGACCTCCGGGGCCGACGCCGCTACCCTTGCCACCCGCTCACCTGCAGGCCGCCGCCCTCTGCCCCGCGCCGATCCGAGGCGGGCCGGGCCCCGCCCCGCGCAGGACCGTCCTCAGCACCGGCCCTCAGGCCCGCGTCACTGCCCGGGCCCCAACCAACACCGCGCTCCGGCCGGAAGCGGGCTGACGCCCTTCCGGGGAGGGACCTGAGCAGCCGCGCCGCGGCCTGCGGCCTCGCGGAGGCAAAGCGGCCTTTTCCGGGTGCCGCCCTGGTGGCCGGAAAGAGTTAATGCTACCGAGTGTCCCGTTCCCGCCGCGGCCTAGAAGGGCCTGCGCGCGGCTCGGCCAGCGGCTGTCGCCGCCTCGCGTCCCGGCTCCGGGAGGCGCTGCGCGTCCGGCTGCTCCCTGCGTGGCTTTCCGGCGGCCGGCTGCGCCTGATTCCCGGAGCCCCGCCCGGCGAGGGTGGCCGCCCCTGCGCGCGCGGAGCCCTCGGTCTTCCTGGTGTTTGCGTCCCGGTCAGGATCGGCGGCCCCCGAGGGCTTGTTCCCTCCTCTGGACCGCGCGTCCCTCAC